GCTCTTGGGAACCTGTTCCTCATCCTGGATTGCCTTAGCCATGATACAGTGGGGTGCTTGGTCTTATGGCCACGTGATACACCATGCTGTGCTGATACCCATGAGAGGCCGCCCCCCTTTGGAGCAAAAACAGAAGAGGAGTGGACTGGGGGGAGGGGAGGGAACGGGAGGACAGGAGGGAGGGGAAACTGTGGTTCAGATGTAAAATGAATAAATCAATTTTTAAAAACACTACAAAAAGCAATCAGTTCAAATGGTGGAACAAAGAGAAGTTAAATCTCTCTCTCTCTCTCCCCAGCTAAATTTCAAAACAATGAACTTTTTCACAACATGTGTAATATGAGCCAGGCTTGGTGGTGTATGCTTTTAATCCCAGCAATCAGGAGTCAGAGGCACATGGATCTCTTTGAACTTGAAGCCAGTCTGGTGTTTATAGTAAGCTCCAGGATTACCAGGGCTACATAGAGAGACCCTATTTCAAAAAACAAGAAACAAAAATCTATAATATACCTAGAATATAAATCAGAAAGGATCTTAGTACATCAGAAATTAGTGGTTCCTTAAGAATCAGAGACTTGATGGGTAGTGGTGCACACACCTTTAATCCCAGCACTCAGGAGGCAGAGGCAGGCGGATCTCTATGAGCTCAAGACCAGCCTGGTCTACAAATTCCAAAACATCCAGGGCTACATAGAGAAACCCTGTCTCAGAAAACTAAATTAAAAATTAAAAAACAACCAGAGACTGATGTGACCAGATTGAGAATGGCTTGTGTGGAAATGAGAATAACATTATATTTTTACATGGACATAGCCATGAAATTTAAGAGTGTGATAACATTGATAGTTTTCTCAATAAAAGTATAAAAAAGGGAGCTGGTATCAGGCCAGACATCTACATATCTGTGTCCTTTTCAACACCTCAAAAGAGGGTCTAGGCAACAGAATGAAAATGAGGAAGAGGAGACAAGACTAGGAATGAATAGACACAGTAATCGCATGTGTGACAATGTGGTACACGTGACTGTCTGCCTGGGCACCGGAGAGAACGGGATGAAAAACTATGCAAACAGGAAGATTTTAACGTCTTCCAGTCACACGGTGCAATCATTCACAAGGCGATAATTTTCTTCAGTACCAGTAGCAACTAAATGAGTCACTTTTCCACAGTGTCTTTATTTATAATATAATATAAAGACATACTTGAACTCCTCATGCATTTCCTTCTTGTTTCACCAAACTTGTTCCAGTGCCCTGTTGTGTATTTGGAGTGTTCTATTCCCACGCATGTCTTTATGTTACTCTATGTATATGTCCTTAAGATTGCGGTTGTCTCAAAATAAGAATTAAGGTGTATGTATATTATTTTTCCAATTAGAATTCTTCATAAAACTTAAGCTCTATATAGGGTATAAGTGTGTGTGTGTGTGTGTGTGTGCCACTCTGTAACTTGATTTTTCTTCTTACTACTGTCATATTTTCCAAAGTAAGATGTTAAATGTGTGTATGAAATTTTTCCCATTGTCTGGAATCAGTTGGCTAAATACTTTTAATATCCATTGTTCCCTCTGGGAATACATATGGTGAGTAAAAAAGAGAATCTCAGAGAACACATGGGTCAAAGACAAACAGCACAGCGGAAGCACAAAGTGGCCTTGGGGAACTGGAAACACCCTTAACACCCTCGACAAGAAAGCAAGAAAGTAAATTATGGCACATCTACTACACAAGGATTATTTTACAGTCAGTGAAAAGAATTTAGTAAATCTATGTACAATGACACAGAAAATTTTCCAAGATGAAGGAAAATGCAAACAGCATGATCTTCTTTATGCTGTAAGATAAACCTGTCCTTAAAACCTTCGGAGCTAACAGTGAGGAAATGGGAGCCAGAGGAATGCAAAGTCAACTTGGTTTTTAAATCTTCCCCATGTCAATGTCATCCTAGAAGAATTGACAGAGTGGGAGCCTTTCCATGAGTGAGCAAGCGGCTAGAGGAGGTGAGAAGGGGTGCTGCCAATGCCTAGTGTCAGACATTGTTAAATGAGAATATATTCTTATAGCATTAGCAGAGAGATTGGTGATGCATGCGTGGATTCCAGACAATAAGACGACAGACAAAGGACCATTTCCCAGAGCACACAATCCAGCCACACTGAAGTGCTCCCTGAGCATTTCTCTCACTTTGACTGGATACATCGGAGCAAGGCGGGCACTGGCCTGAGACACTTACTGATGGCCTTTAGGGTTTTTGTTCGGAAGAGACACCCTCGAAAATTCAGGCGCAGCACGGTTAGACGCCACTTTTGCAAAGTAGTCACCACACATTTATCGGCAATGTTTTTCGATGTGGAAAAATCAATCTAGAAAGGATAAATAAAAAGCGTTAAGAAATAAGATCTGTTTCATACAAGACTTTTAAAGCACCAAACCCTAGAAGCCGTTCATGCCGTTGTTCCCAAACAGCCAAAGAGACTAAAGGTTGGAGCTCTCCAATACACAGATCTCACAGATAAAGACTATACTGGCAAACAGACTTCCAAAAGGGTTGGGTTTGGCCATGAAAAATAAAGCACACTCAGAGGACACTTTTGAACACGTGTTTTCAAGCTGGGGATTGAGCACTCTGTCACTGGACCACATACTCCCTATACATACAGCATCAGCGCCTTTGTGAGTTAAGACACACAGAGCCGAAAACAGTGAGATTTCATACATCAAGAAGCTGGGAGAGCTCAGAAAATTTGTAACAGCAAGTATTCTTTAATTTCATATACTTCTGTGATTATCCGGCAATGCAGTATGTGCCCTGACCCATGAGAACCTGCAATCACATGTGTATATAAAAGAATGAGGAGCAGAATTTCAATAGCAAAGGGTGATGACCTAATGTCTTCAGTGAGACCGGCAGAATAATCGGAGAAACTGCGTATGGCAGACACCGGACAGGGCGAAAGAACATGCTACAGCAAACTAGCGCCTAAACCATCACAGCCCAACTGTGCTACCCTCTAACTCAGTTCAGAGACAAAATTCCTTACCTAGGAATTTCGGGATAAACTGTTTTCATGAATATTACTTGATACCATTCTTTTGATAAGAGTTGTTTCTCAGAACTCGGGATTCCATTTTAAAACCTGGAGAGCAGGGATCCTGTGCCACCAATTAGGGGCAGGGCAGTTGGCAGGTGACCCGTTTCCCCATTAATGTTTACTAATAAGGTGCACACTGTGGTCAACCACAATTTTGAGTTCTAACCCAGGTACTTGCTAGTAAGGGCTATGATTGAACTAACTCGTTTTTCTCCCCTGGAAAATGAGGAAAATGGCAGTGCCTGTCTAGGGAGGTGACAGCGATAGCGTCTGAATAGCACCGAGAGAACAGGCTGGGCTTAAACTGCAGCTGTCTGTTACTAGTTCAAACACGGTGACCAATCGTCACAAAATGTGAAGCAAAAACGCCTTCTCAAACTGCGCGAGGCGCGTAAACAAGCCTGCTTGATATTGTCAGTGCGCCTGCGCACGCAAAACGCCCGCACGCACAGCCCCGCATTTTCTAACATGAACTTCAGGCTAACGTCTTCACACTGCCGTTGTCCTAATGCTATCTCTGCGTGCTTTACAAGGTGGAAATGACCACTTCTCGTCCCAGAGAGACTCCAAGGAGTCTCGCGGACACAATAAAAATGGAGCATGTGCTGTCCCTTGGTGACTTCTGTCTCTTGGATGGCACTGTAATCTCAACAGCCTCGAGCTTCAGGGGCCGCCAACTTCCCTGCTTGCGGAAGTTAGTTCACAGCTGGCTTCATCACGGTCCCTCACGGATAATGACTGGGGGACGGATGACACCATGCACTCAGACTCAACAGCGGCCAGGCGGCCAGGCGGCCAGGCACTAGGTACGAAATCTGTTAAACTCTCTTACAGAAGCTCAGAGGAGCGAGCAAAGTGCCAGCAGCTATAGACAAGAGTCAACTCCGTGCCCATGCACCCCCCCAGGCCACCATCCAGTCCCAAAGGGACCGCCCCGTTCTCCTGTGTGTGATACTGGCCAGGAGCTAAGACATTAGCTATGCCTGATTGAGTTTTAGTTTAAGAAAGTGTTCCTAAAACCTGAGTCTGCAGAGGCTTGTGAAGGTAGTTGATGTTACTCTGAGTACCCCACGCTACAAACTGAGTGAGTGGGTGGAGCCTAAGAGTTGGTATTCCCCGCCCCCCACCAGCTCTCCTGTGGGGCTGATGCTCTTGGTTTCAGGGCCACACTGGGAGACCAGATGGTTTTAAAAAAAACAAAAACAAAAAAAACCCAACAGTCTCTTGTTTATGTGATAGCTGTTCTGGAAAACTCAAAGAGAAAAGTGAATACAAATGCTCTGGAGGATTAAAAAAAAAAAAAAAAAAAAAAAGCAGAGACAAAATCAAAGCCTGACCAAGCAGAAGCATGGCAGGAATCAGAAAAGGCCAGCACTTTTGCCCAGAGAGCGTTGGATACAGGTGTAGAAAACGCGCGCCCATGGCAGAAAAGAACAAAGCCAGAGTCAAGCGTGTTCTCGGGTTCTACCTCCTCTTTTTTCTGCTTTCCCGTCAGTGTTCAAGCATGGCACAATTGTGAGGAGATCCGTTTATCAGTCAGTCCTAACTAGCCAGAGTCCATATAAATGCCTGTTCCCATCAGTTCTGCATGCCTAAGTTAACGCCTTCTCTGTTTTGGAACTAGCCTTACAGTTATGAGCTATGAGGTGCCCCCTGCCCCAGCGATGGAGAGATGGTTTAGCAGTTAAGAGTACTTGCTGATGGTCCAGAGGAGCCGGGTTCATTCCCAGGACCCACACAGTGGCTCACAACCTTCTGTAACTCCAATCGCAAAGGATATAATGACTTCTTCCTGCAGGCTCCAGGCACACATGTGGTGCATAGGCACACGTGCAGGCAAAATACCCAGACACATAAAATAGTTATAAAACTAATAACGAAGAAAAAAATTTCTTTTTTTTTCCCAGACCGGGGATGGATGGGGTGTTAAGATAGGGTTTCACTATGAAGCTCTGGCTGTCCTGGAACTCAAAGAGATTTGCCAACCTGCCTCCTGAGTGCTGCCATCAAAGATGTGCACCGTCATGCCTAGCTCATTGGCGGGAATAAGAACAGAGACAATGAAACAAGGATGAACTGCACCTTATCCAACAAAATGGAGCTTTGCTTCAATCTGAAAATAATATCCAACGTACATGTCCTGCCACTGAAATTTTAAAGCACGGATAATGTTATTGTCTATTTTTACCTCTTCCTCCAGGTTTGTGCTGACAAAAGCCACAACAAACCAAAAAAACACAAACAATAAGCATTTCCTGCTGGTGGTCACAGAGAAGGGAGGGGGAGCATGAATAACGCAGCATTTCTACAGGGCTTTCCATGAGCCCATTCCCGGCTGCCTTCCAGGAGAACCACGCCTTCCCGCACATCCACTTACGGCGTTCCACAGGAAGCCCCTCTGTGTCATTGCCATCCAGGAGCGGTTCACTTGGCCACACGTGATCGTGTCTCTAAAGCTGAGGTACAAGAAAATCTAAACATAAAGAAAAGAAACACATCATTTTGAATGATCTATGAATTTGGGTGTAAATCTTCCATTGTGTGTGTTAGTAATGATCTATGAATTTTGGTGTAGATCTTCCATTGTGTGTGTTGTCCATATACAAGGCATTTAAGGGCTGGAGTTGTATCCCCAGGGAGGAATTTTATCTGAAGTCCGAGAATTCATCAGTTGCTGCCTCCTATCACGTGATGTGATGCCATCCCTTTCTAAAGATGCGCTGTGTGTCACATGCTTTTTGTTCTCTGTTCTTTCTTTTTTTCTTTTAGTTTGTTTGTTTGGAGACAGTATCTCACTGTACAGCTCTGCTTAACCAGGAATTTGTTATGTAAACTAGGCTAGCCTCGAAGTCACACACACACACACACACACACACACACACGCGCGCAAACCTCAAATTTTAAACACTAGATGATAATAGCCTAAGAGTGGAGAGAGGAACTAATACTCAATCACTCTAAATTCAGTCTCTGCTCAGGAAGGAAGTATACCCATTCATTCACATCAGGTCTTAGCAAAGGGTGCACATGGTGCACTCACCTTGGTTTAAACAACACAAGGAAGGGCTGCCTTTGAGTAAGATGCCGTGAAAACTCAGGAAGCATTCCAGAGTCTTCAAACAGCATTCTAAATGTTTGTATTTATTCTCATAGATAAATGCTACTTTTGGCCTTAGCCAGAGAATCTCCTCTTTCTAGTGAACATTGGTAAATGTGAGGTTCATAGCACCGAGAATAAGTGACGGCTGATGGCTGACCCCTAATCAATACTGTCATGTCCTCAGAGAACACTGCGGAAGAGGAGGCGGGAAGAGCGTGAGAGCCGGGAGAGCCGGAGGACAGGAAGGGCTGTGGAATAGCTCCGTCTGGGCACAGTCCACAGCAGCGGCAGACGCCTGTGAAGAGCGTAAGAGCCGGAGGACGGGAAGGCCCGTGGAATAGGCATCTCAGGCAGGCTGACGTCATCCCGAGAACAGAGGACCATCAAATAAATAGGTCAACAGACCATGTCTGTGAACCAGAAGTCACAATAATAACGTAAAAGGAACTACATCAAAACACTATATAAACACTAAATACGTGCAATCTTAGAGACCTGGACAAGACAACCTCACCAAGTACCCAAGGAACAGACGTTACGAACAGTAACAATACCAAGATGCCAATTCTATCTGAAGTCTACAGATTCAATGAATTCTGTCAAATTTCCAAAGGCTCCTTTTACAGAAATGGAAGCCAGTTCTCAAATTCACATGAAATTGCAACAAGTCTCAAACAGCCAAAACAACTTCTAACTGACTTCAAACTGAAAACAAAGCGGCGACAATCAAAATATGAATAACATACAGATCAATGAGTTGGGATGGGGAGTTCAGAAATGCATTTACATAAACGCTAGTTTATATTCAACAGGAAGTCAAACCGTTCAGCGGAGAAAGAATGGTTTCTCAATAGACAGTGCTGAGACAACTGGGCTCCCAGATATAAAGAATGGATACAGGACACTTCTATGCCTTACTCCATATAAAAAAAAACTTTACCCAAAATGAGCCAATGACCTAAATATAGGAACTAAAACTAAAAACTCCCTAGGAAAAAACATAAAGGTAAATCTTATGATATCAAAATCACAAACAATACAGGAAAAGATAACTCAGATTTCATCAAAATGTAAAACTTCCACACATTAAAGAACCCTGCAAAGGGGTGAACGGTCACCTTCTGTATTGTCCCTGTGTCACTGTGTCACGGATGTAGACTTGTACACGTCTACATACATGTGTGAGAGTGTTCGTGCCCAGGAAGCCACAAGCTGGCACTAGAATGTCTTTCTCAACTGCTTCCCTACATTTATTTACTTCCTTCCCTAGTTATTTACCACAGCCTTTCAACGACCTTGGAGACCGACAGTTCGGCTACACTGGCCAGTCAGTGAGTCCCCAGGATCTGCCTTCACGCCTGTGCCCCAAGTACTTTAGACACTGAGATTCCTCCGCAGCCTCATTACCATATGATTTTCATTAGTAAACTTACCCATATTTTAGGATTAAGTCATCCTCAATGGTAAATTCTAATAGGATATTAATTACGGCAACAACAACACACCCATATCTAGACGGATCTTACCACCATGCAGACGGTCAAGTCTGTGTGACTGATTTGGACTGTCACCTACAACCTATGCTGAGGCTGTTGTTTACATAGTAAAGAAGCTATTCCAATAGAATTGCTGAATGCCTTTCCCAGTATGTGTGCCTTTGACACTTTTCCTGGTGTGTAAAGAGTTACTTGCTTATTCATTAGCTCATTTAACACTTATAGGTGCCCATTTCACAATGTCATACCTCATTACCTCCATATGAAGTTGCCCAGAGATGTTTGAAAAGGGGGGGTGCTCCATATTTCCATGTGGAATAAGTATTTCAGACCTACACTTTACCACAAACCTACTTTCTCCTAAGGAATGGGGCCATCATTACATAATATATAAGGAATTTTCAGATGTTCATAGGCAAGAACCCTTGGAAACACTAAAAATTAATTCCACATGCGACACTGGCTGTTGCCAAGTTAGCTCCCGGGAAGTGGGATGTGGGTGAGGCACTAGACTTTCCAACTCACTCCACAGATAAGCACCACTTGGGTTATTATTTTGTGTAAACCCAAAACGTGACCAGGCAAGGCACAGAGACAAAGAGGCATTTCCAGAAAACTGTACACCCCTGAATTCAGTCTCAAAGTTCACTCTGTGCCTACGGAGTGGGGGGAGGGTGGCGGCTCTCAGGAGACACAAGAGCTTGGGGTAAAAAAGGGGAATGGACGGCCCCCCTCGAGGGAAAATTCCTGAGCCTCTAGTGGGGGGAGAACAGCCACAACAACAAAGAACCATGTGTACAGGGAAGCCGGCGCCCCAGGAGACCGAAGGGGACTGGGTGCTGCTGTATGGACCAAGGGGAGGCTACAGAGGCAGCCGCGAGAGTCAACCGAAGGTCTGAGACCCTTTGAGCCTGCATCTTCTCCTCCCCGCCCAGACTTGCGTGGAGAAGAGTGAGGCTCCCAGAAGAAAACTTCAGAATGGGCAGTTTGTAGGATGCGGGCAGCATTGGAGATACCGGAAGTCGCCAAACAACTGACCTCAAGTGACACAACCAGGGTCAGAGGTCAGCTTTCTGTAGAGAGCGCCCTCTGAGTCGGGAGCGCTGAGTACTCCTGAGGCAGGGAAGAATGGGTGGTGCTCCTGAGGACTAATTCTCTTCTCCCACACTCTGGGACCGGCTTGGTATTGGGGTAACAGCGCGCATGGTGCACACGGAACCAGCAAGAAGAGCTGTGGGAAAGCTGAGGGGGGGGGGGGGGGGCATGCGCTGACACTGTAGAAGGACGTCAGGACAAATGTCCTCCCTGGCAGTGCCAGAACCCCTCCCTAACGTGAGCAGCGTAGCACGTGAGAAGTACTGCTAGTATTGCTAGTGAACCCAATGTGAGCAGCGTAGCACGTGAGAAGTACTGCTAGTACTGCTAGTGAACCCAACGTGAGCAGCATAGCACGTGAGAAGTACTGCTAGTATTGCTAGTGAATACAATGAGAGACAAACAAATCCCAACTCAGCTGGCATTGTAGATGGTAAAACACACAGCGTAAATCTTCAAAATCAGACATAATTAATCCATCTCGTATTAAAGGACTTCTGTTGGGCACCAGCAAATGACAATAGCAACGTCTCCTTGGTGTAGTGCTGTCTGCCACAGTTTCCTTTCCCTTGCTGTCGTACCACGACCGAAGAAAATAGCCTTTGGGGGAGTTTATGTGACTTACTCATCCTGTCACAGACTATTGCTGAGGGAAGCCAAGGCAGAACCGAGACAGAGACCACGGGGGACACTGCTAACTGACCTGTACCCCCTAGTTTGCTCAGTTTCATTCCCTAGGGAGTATTTAAAGGTATGAAAGAACACGAGAGATCTCCGCAGTGTACCACACTAGAGCTGGGTATTGCCAGAACATCGATATACAAAGCATTGCTTCCCACCAAGAAACTTACTTGACAGCAAAAAGAAATGTCTCGGTGGCCCTGTGTTCACAGGAATCTGAACCACCGGATACAACCGGCTTGATACAATAGTAGAATGGGATTGTAGAGACCCTGTTTCAATGTCAGGACAGGCAACAACACCGAATGTAAGGTTCTCCAATAGACTACATGTGGTCAGTGAGGTGTTAGAAAGGAAATGGCCCCCAAAGGAAGTGGCACTCTCAGGAGATGTGGCTTTATTCGAGAAAATGTGTCACTGTGGAGGCAGGCTTTTAGGTCTCCTGTATGCTCAAGCCATGCACAGTCAGTTCACTTCCTGTTGCCTTTGGATCAAGATGTGGGGCTCTCAGCTCTAGTGCCATGTCTGCCTGCACGCTGCCTTGCTTCCCGCTATGAGAGTAACAGGCTAAACCTCTGACCTGTAAGCCAGTCACCCAATTAAATGTCTTCTTTATAAGAATTCCCATGGTCATGGTGTCTCTTCACAGCAATAGAAACCCTAAGACAGCCAGGGACAAGAATAATAATGACACACTCACCCTAAGACAGCCGGGGGCAGGAATGACAGTGACACACTCGCCCTAAGACAGCCAGGGACAGGAACAATAGTGACACACTCACCCTAAGACACTAGGGACAGGAACGATAGTGACACACTCACCCTATGACACTGGGGACAGGAGTGACAGTGACACACTCATCCTATGACACCAGGGACAGGAATGATAGTGACACACTCACCCTAAGACACCGGGGACAGGAATGACAGTGACACACTCACCCTCAGACAGCCAGGGATAGGAACAGTAGTGACAAATTCACCCTAAGACACCAGGGACAGGAATGATACTGACACACTCACCCT